AGGGTGGGACCTGGGTTCTTCTCCTTCTCTTTGTCCTTCCCCCCGCCTTGCCTCTCCGCCTGTTCCTCCCCTCTCTTCTGCCCCCTCTCCTCCCTTCCCCTCTTTCTGCTCTCTCTGTTGTCCTCTCCTCCTCTGCCTGACTGTCCTCTCCTCCTCTTCCTCCCCCCCCTGCCTCTCTGTGTCGCGCCGACCTTGTCTGTCGGAGGCGCAGCGTCTGAAATCCCGCCCCCCTGGTCTGCCTCTTCCCCCCTCTGAAGGGGAGGGGAAAGGGAGGGGGGGCGGGCCAAGCATGGTGCGCTCGCGTCATGTCTGGCATCCTGCCCCTCTCACCCATCCTGTCCCCTTGCGTCGTTGTTTTCTCTATCCGCCGACGCGTGTCGTAGTGGACATGGAACTCCAAGGAGGATCCCATCGTGGCATCCACAATCTGGGAAGAAAGGAAGCTGGGGCTGGGTTTGGGAGCTTCGACGGCGCCGCAGCTCCTCTGTTCCTCTCGCGGCGAGCACGGGCGGGCCCGACCGTCGGCGCAGAGACATGGTTTCGCCGCGGTCGGGCCAGAAGGACGTCGAGGTGGAGGATGAGCAGGGGGAGCACGAGAAGAGGGACCTCAGAGGAGGCAGACGAGCACGAAACGAGGAGGAGGAGGAGGAAAAGCTTAGAGGACGAGGGGGTTGAGCCCTTCGACGGGGGAGGACGAGCGCAAGGAGGAAGAGGAGGAGCCGAGAGTGGAGACCTCCCGCCCACCCTCCCTCCCGGTGATCTAGGATGCAGGTGTGCTGCCGCCCCCCCGCCGGCAGGCCTGCTCGACCTGAACCTTGCCATAGAGAGCGTCATCTGGAACGAGTGGAAGAATTGGCAGCGGCGTGCTCTGGAGAAGGCTGCGGGTGGACCTTCAGATCCGGTCGTCGTGGTCCCCAGAGGAGGACGAGATCCCGATACCGCTGCCCTTCCCTCGTCGCCACGGCGGGTCTCGCCCCGAAGTCTTGGTCAGAGCACGCCCCCCGCAGAGGTCCAGAGAGTAATTAGTGGTACCGGTATGCTTCTGTTCCCTCAGAACGGAAGTTCGAAGGACGTCTTCGGCCTACTCTGGGCCACGCGGCCCTCACGGATCGGTCCAGCTGGTGATACACAGAGATCCAGTCGCGTTTTGTCCAGTCGTTGTTTTTCCACGGCTGTAGATCCCAATGAGGGAGGGGGTAAAGTGGAGGATGAGGGTGATGACGGCGCAGCTGGGGTTTGGGACGAGTGGAAGTAGGCGTATGCGGAGGCGGAGGGTGGTGAGGAGAAGGAGGAGGACGAGGAGGAGGAGGAGACGGAGGAGGAGGAGGAGGAGGAGGAGGAGGAGGAGGAGGAGGAGGATGGAGAGTCCACATGGGGATGAGCAGCAGTTGCTTCTTGGGGGAGGTCCTGTTGGGCGTGGGCGGAAGGCAGGAGGCAGGAAAGGAGGTAAAGCAGATAAGGGTATGTTCATACACACCTCTCCGAGAGAGTAGAGCTTGGAGGCGATATATTGAAGCCATGTTTTTTTTTTTGGGGGGGGGGGGGGGGGCCGTCTGCCCAGGACATCTTCACAATTCTGAAAATCAAACGCACCCCTCACGCAGAGCTCGATGTCACGGTCCAAAACGCATTATTATTCAGCATGTTAGCATGGCGCCTTCAAAACACAACGGATCTCAATAATTTGGGGCCTGATTCTTCGAACATTGCAGTTTCGCGTGAGACATCCTCCAAATAGCGAACACCTTTTGAAACGGTTCTGTAAACAAACCAGTTTCACTTGAGATAGCCTACCAACATCGAGCCCCGACGTGCAACTCGTAGAGTGCACACAGCACACGCACACACACCACTCCACACAACACACTCCACACAAAACACATAACACACATAACACACATAATACCTGCCACATGCAGAACACACGCAACGCACAAGACACAGCACACCCAACATACACACCCACACACATCACACACACGCACATACACAACGCACGTACAACACACCTAACACACCTAACACACATGACACGCATAACACACAAACCACACATAACTCACACATAGCGCACTCACACAACGCAGAACACACGCGCACAACACAAACACACATAGCACACACCTTACACACCACACGCCACACACACACACATCCTGCACATGTGTTTGTACGAACCTGGGCACGCACGTGCCACTTGTGTGTATATATATATATATATATATATATATATATTGCAGTAGGTGAAGGGCAGCGGGCGAGCAGACGCGAGCGATAAATACGGTACCTGGATGTTGTCCCAGATCGACGGAACACGAGCTGTACTTAATGGGTACGGTTCGTCTGCTCGACCTGCGTTCTCGGTACACGCGTGGGCACCGGCGGGCTCTGGGGTGGCGACCAGCCCACAGACGGAAACTTCGGACGTCCGCGGGGGGGCTCCCCCGCCGGTGCCAGCCCCGCCCTCCACGCCCCTCTCTGGCGCTCCAGGCGCGCTGGTGGCGGCGCCGAGGGCGCCGGCCAGTGGTGCCGGGAGAGGGGCCTGCGCTGGCAGGGGGAGCGGCCGCGGGCAGAGGAAAGTCTCTGTGCCTTCGGGGGTCGGAGACGGGTCTCGGCCGCTTCAGTCTGGTGGCGGCGCGTCCTGGGCGCCACGTCCCCTGCCGGGCTCTGGCATGCCGTCGAGCAGGGCGTCGAGGGGTCGAGCGTCTGCGAGGGCGCCTGGTCTCCTCGGCGTGCTCGGCCGTCTTGGCATCCCACGGTCGTCTCGGCCTGCTCCGCCGCCGTGCCTTGCTCGGCTCACGGGCCTTTGTCTGGCGTGGGCCCCTGGGGCCCCAGGGTCTTGGATGATGCCGGGGAAGACGATGATCACGCCGAGTTCATGATGGTGACGACGAAACTGATGATGAAACTGATCATGATAATAAGGATGATGCTGATGCTGATGATTAGTTATCATGATGATGTTGATAATAACGATGATGAGGATGGTGATGGTGATGATGGTGATGATGGTGATGACGATGACGATGACGATGCCGATGATGATGATGATGATGGTGATGATGATGATGATGATGCTGATGATGATTATGATGATGCAACTGATGAAGGTGATGATGAGGATGGTGGTGGTGATGATGCTGCTGATGATGATGATGATTGTGATGGTGATGATGATGATGATGATGATGATGATGATGATGATGATGATGATGATGATGATGCCGATGATGATGCTTATGACCATAGAGACGATGATGATGAGTATGCTGATGATGCTGATGATAGTTCTGGCGATGATGGTGATGGTGATCATAATGATGCTGATGACGACGATGATGATGCTGATGCTGATTAGGATGAATATGATGACGATGATGATGCTGCTGATGATGATGATGATGATGATGATGATGATGATGATGATGATGAAGCTGATGAAGCTGATGAAGGTGATGCTGCTTCTGATGATGATGGTGGTGATGATGATTGTGATGCTGCTGCTGCTGAGGATGATGATGATTGTGATGCTGCTGCTGCTGAGGATGATGATGCTGATCATGATGATGATGAGGATGATGCTGATGATGCTGATGATGATGATTATGATGATGCTGCTGCTGATGATGATGATGATGATGATGATGATGATGTCGATGCTGATTGTGATGGTTATGGTGATGCTGACGGTGACGGTGATGGTGGTGTTGGCGATTGTGGAGGTGGCGAATGTGTTCGTGATGCTGCTGATGATGCTAGTGATGGTGTTGATTTAGGAGGAGGGGGAGGATGAGGAGGAACAGGGAAGGAGTGAGCTCACACGGGGATGAGGAGAGTGGGAGGAGAAGGAGGACGAGCGAGGCGGATGAGCGATGGGGGAGAGAGGGGGGTGCGCCCAGCAGGTTGGGGAAGGTCTCGGAACGGGCGGAGGGGGGGGGAAGCGGGACAGGTTTGAGTTTTCTTATGCATCTCTTTGGGTTCCCCGAGAGCCCCCGGCGCCACGGCAAGATTCGCTCTCAGTCCTAGCAGGTGGGCGCTCCAGCACAAGTACAGGGGTCGAGTCTGAGGGGGGAGGGCGGGGGAAATGAAACGAGGAGGCGAGGCAGGAGGAGCAATTGGGAGTGGTGGCGGAGGAGGGGACATGGTAAAGCACCAATGCGGGCCAATGTAGGCCAATGCGTCGCAGCCCTCTGCTTGAAGCTGCCAGGGGAGAAGCGGAGGACGAGGAGGATGAGGCGGAGGAAGGGGCATGCAAACCAAGATTACACACCAGGCACACCAATTAGGTGAGCAAATGATGTTGACATACCTAATTGTCCTCCCATCTTCTCTCTCCTCTCCTCTTTGTCTTTCTCCTCTGTTGCCTCCTTCATTTCCGACCTACTCGTCCTCCCGTTTCTTCCTGCTTCCGTTCGTCCTCTTCCTGCGCATTCCTTCCTTCCTTTGTCTTCCCTGCTGCTGCTGTCCTTCATTGTTTCCCCCGCTGCCGAAGGGCATAATGCATGCCACGCGGAGCGAAAGGAGCAGGACGAGGTCGAAGGCGGAGGAGGAAGAGGAACGAGAAGGAGGGGGGATGATGGTGCTGCTGTTGATACTGCTTCTGCGCGTGCTGCTGCTGATTATGGTGATGACGAGGAGGAATCTGAGGAGGACGATCGTGATAGTGATGATGATGATGATGATGATGATGATGATGATGATGATGATGATGATGATGATGATGATGATGATGATGATGATGATGATGATGATGCTGATGATGATGATGATGATGATGAGGAGGAGGAGGAGGAGGAGGAGGAGGAGGAGGAGGAGGAGGGGGAGGGGGAGGAGGGAGGAGGAGGAGGAGGAGGAGGAGGAGGAGGAGGAGGAGGAGGAGGATCTGGAATGGAGGCAGGAGAAGGCGGAGCGAGGATAATGGGGATGGGGCAGGATGGGGAGCAGGAGCTGGATGTGGAGGAGGGAGGAGGAGACGGAGCAGAAGGAGGACGAAGGAATAAGGAGAAGGATGGGAGGAGGAGGAGGAGGAGGAGGACACGGTGATCGCCTGATCAACGCCTGATCAAGGATAACGAGGGGGGAAGACGAGGACAAGGACGAGGGAGGATGAGCAGGAGGACTACAGAGGAGGAGGAGGACGAGGAGGAGGAGGAGGAGGAGGAGGAGGAGGAGGAGGAGGAGGAGGAGGAGGAGGAGGAGGAGGAGGAGGAGGAGGAGGAGGAGGAGGAGGAGGAGGAGGAGGAGGGTGGAGGAGGGGTGGTTCCTGGACGGATTCCAGCCGAGGGGGATCTCTCGAACTTCGTGAAGCCCGCCGTCTACCTCGTGTGCTCGGGGGTGCAGCTGGCCTCCGCGTTCATCGCGTACCTGCTCTTCAAGGACCGATGGTGGCGAGGAGGATGAGGAGCAAGGAGGAGCAGGAGCAGCAGCAGTACTTAGGAGCAGCAGGGGGAGGGAGAGATGGAGGATGAGCGAGGGTGCGAGGGAAGGAAGAAAGGTGGATCGGGAGGTGGAGGGGGGGTGGGGTGGGTGACCAGGACGAGCAGTGGAACGAGAGAAAGAGGAGGAGGAGGAGGAGGAGGAGGAGGAGGAGGAGGAGGAGGAGGATCAGGAGGAGGAGGAGGAGGAGCAGGAGAAACGAGGAGTATGCGGATAAGCGGAGCGTGGAGGAGCAGCGAGGAGACCGGGAGCAGTTCTTCGGCCTCTCGGGATGGACCGCCGCCAGCAAAAGCATCCCGCCGTGTATGCCGTGCTTGCGTCGCGGCGCGAGGGGTGGGGGCTGGCCCTCCTCTCCCTGTACCCCCCCAGGAGGCCGAAAGCCTCGAGGAGGCGGAGCACGACGAGGCCGAGGAGCCGCTGTTCACCACCGAGGACCAGGTTGGGGCTAAGATGCCTCGAGTCGCCAAGGGGGGGAGACGGGTCCTTCCTGGAAAGGGGTCCCGAGGTGTCTGGCCGTTTGCGGGCTCTGGGTGCCCTCCACGGGCCCCGGGGCTGCCAGAACACGGCTCGGGATGAAGAGTTGGTCTTGGGGGAAGGCCCCAGGGTCCGAGATCCGTTTCCCGCAGGACCCGTGCCCCCCGTGCTGCTGGAGACTACGAGTGCGAATCGGCGCGAGCATCTGAGTCGAATCGAGCCGAGTCCACTCGTGGGTCGACGGCACTCAGCAGGGCCGAGTTGCTCGCTCGTGGTCGCTCGTATGCGACATCCTCGGCTCGCTTCGCGGCTGGTCCCACTTACTCACACTTCCCACACCTGGGCACCACGCGCCCTCTGTCGTGTCGTCTCTTCCACCTCCAGAGTGCTTGCCTGCCGTGGAACCCGGACAGCGTGTGTGTGTGTGTGTGTGTGTGTGTGTGTGTGTGTGTGTGTGTGTGTGTATCCTTGCGCTTTCGATGTGCAAGTCTGTGGTGCAGCCCGTGCATGGTGCAATCCATGCGTTAAGGCGCAGTCCATGTGGTGCAATCTAGGTTATGCGCGCTATGTGCTGCACTGTGTGAGAGATGTTGCGAAAACTACGTGAGGCCAGGCATGCTTTGCAATATACCCGGTCGTCAGCCGGCCGGATTTCCCAGGGGTTCCCCTGGTGTTCGGCTTGTGGGTTCCTCGTACGCCGGCTGGCACTTCCGGATGCCCGCACACACATGTGTATGTATATACACACACATGTTTATATATATACACATGTAAGCATACTACAAATATACTCATGTACGTCTATGTTTACATGTACTTGTACATACACGCATACGTAACCCTATACATGTACGTTTGCACATACGTATACGTATACACATACATATGCATTTGCAGATACATTGCACCTCGTTTGCACCCAACAGTTTGCTTGACGTCTACCGCTCAAACAATGTCTACTAATTCATGCGTTGCACGATACATGTTGCAACAGACAAAGCGCACGAGAGGTATTGCACGTCACTGGCATCTACAGAGTGCATCGCTACGCATGTTAGACAACATCATTCAAATAGATAACACCACACAAATTGCTCCTAATCAGGGTGCGGGAGGGCGAATGGCCTTACACCGTCCCTGGGTGCGTGGGCGAAATGGGCTTGCGCATTGCGTTGTTTTACTGTTGTCGTCGTCCTCGCCCGCGACCCGCCCGCGACCGACCCGCGACCCACCCGTGATCCTCCCGCGACCGATCCGCGACCAGCCCGCGACCCTCCGGCGACCTGCAGTGGAGGCCCATGCCAAGACACACTCTGCTTGCCTCCAGGGTGCCCTGAGTTTCTCGGGTTTCGATGGTTTTGCCATGGGGGGCGTGACGTTTCCTCACCAAGAACCAGTGGACGTCCTGGGGTCTCAGGGTTGGGTTTCTCGTGGAAGGTTGTTTGTGGATTGGCCTCCGCTGTGCTTGCGACCTGCCCATGTTGCCTCGGCGAACAACATCTGCGCTTGCACAGCGGGCTCGCTGCGCCAGCACAGCACCCCAGACGCCAGCACGACGGACCAGCCCGCCAGACCAGCACGGCAGACCAGACCAGCACGGCAAGTCAGCACGGCAGACTGGCACGGCGGACCAGCGCGGCAGATGAGACCAGCACGGCGAACCAGACCATGCGGCAGACCAGACCAGCATGGTGGCAGCTTCTTCTTCTTCTTCTTCCTCCCTCCCTCCTCCTCCTCCTCCTCCTCCTCCTGCTCCGCCTCTTCCCTCCCTCCTCCCTCCTCCTTCCTTCTCCCTCCTCCCTTCTTCTCCCTCCTCCTCCTCCTCCTCCTTTTCCTCCTCCTCCCCTCCCGCCCCCCTCTCCCGCCCTCCCTCCCTCCCTCCCTCCCTCCCTCCTTCACTCCCTTTCTCCCTCCCGCCCGCCGCTCGACAGGTGCGCATCTACAACGCCGTGGTGGCGCACGGGGGCCGGTCGGCCCCCGTGGCCGGCGCGGGCCAGCTGGGCGGCGCGGTGCGCGGGGGGGCCGGCGGCGACCCGATGAAGGCCGGGGTCGGAGCAGAGCAGTCCCAATGGGCACGGAGGAGGAGGAGGAGGAGGAGGAGGAGGAGAAAGGGAGGAGGAGGAGAAAGGGAGGAGGAGGAGGAGGGTCGGAGCAGAGCAGTCCCGATGGGCACGGAAAGAGTGGGCACGAAGCTCAACAGCAGTTCTGTCGAAGCAGAAAAAACGCCATCAGGAAAATTTGTCGCGCTCCACGCGGATTTCTTGGATCTGCGCTGGGACCCCGCTGGCGGCGCCTCCGGCGCCGCCCCTGGCGCGCGGAGCGCGCCAGGGAGGAGGTCCCAACGCGGATCCCAGAAATCCGCGGGGAGCGCCAACAGTTTCTGTTTACGTTTTTTGCTTGTTCTTCTAGAGCAGTCCTGATGGGCACGGAAAGAGTAGGCACGAAGCCCAACACCAGTTCTGGTCCAATTGGAATAAGATCCGATGTCGGCGTCGCTTCGGACGTTGTCCATTCGAGGCAGGATAATGCCGCATGCCCAACACTGGCCGCTGCTGGTTTGGGACAACATTCGTTGTCGGTCGAGGAGGTTCGATGGGGTAGGAGGGGTGGGCAGGTTCGAGGGTCTGGGTGCGAAAAGGTTTTTGCCTTGTTTCGGCCTCCGGGGGCCGTTTTTGGGGGGCTCGACAAGGCTCGACGAGGGCCCGATCGAGCTTCGAGGAGGTTCGAGGAGGCTCGAGGGTCGATGAGCTTCAAGGGGACTCGGCGAGGTCCCGATCCAGTTTCGAGGAGGTTCGAGGAAGTTCGAGTGTTGAGGAGGTTCGAAGGGTCTCTACGAGGCTCGTCGAGGGTCCGATCGAGCCTCGAGGAGGTTCGAGGAGGGTCGAGGAGCTTCGAGGGGGCTCGACGAGGGGCCGATCGAGCTTCGAGGAGGTTCGAGGAAGCTCGACGGTCGAGGAACTTCGAGGGGGCTCGACGATGCTCGCCGAGGGCCCGATCGAGCTTCGAGACTGTTCGAGGAGGCTCGACGGTCGAGGATCTTCGAGGAGGTTTGACGAGGCTCTCGAGGAGGGTCGACGGCCGTGGAGGTTCGAGGGGGCTCGACGATGCTCCACGAGGTCCCGATCGAGCTTCGAGGAGGTTCGAGGCGAGGAGGCTCGACGGCCGTGGAACTTTGAGGAGGCTTGACGAGGCTCGACGAGGGGCCGATCGAGCTTCGAGGACTCGCTGGCCGAGCCTCGCTCGCACATTGCCGACGTGGCCCTCCAGCGCCCTTGCATCCTCATCGTGCGTTGACTGTACAGTCGGGGCCCTGAAGAAGGAACCCTTTTCGTTGGGGAGGGGCTCCGTGTTCCTTAAGTGTTTCACAGCTCGCCTCAGGTTTTCCTTATGTTTTTGATCGGACATCGAAGTTTAACTTATGGAAAAAAGGGGCCTCGTTCCTTATTTTGGGTTCCTTAGGTCAAGGCCCCGACTGTGCCGAGAGGGCGCTCGATCCCCGCTCCACCGAAGGCATTCGCGGGCGCCTCCCACAAGCTGCCCTGACCCTGGCGCGCGCCCTGCGGCCGCGGCGTGGGGATCGCTCTGCCCGCGGCTTTCCCTCGGCGTCGTCGTCGTCGTCGTCGTCGTCGTCGTCGTCGTCGTCGTCGACGTCGCCACCGTTGCCGTCGTCGTCGTCGTCGTCGTCGTCGTCGCCGCCCACCGTTTTCGTCGTCGTCGTCGTCGTCGTCGTTGCCACCGTAGCCGTCGTCGTCGTCTGGTCGCTGCCGCCGCTGCCGACGCCGCCGACGCCCCTCCCCCCACCCCCCCCGGCGTCGGCGCCTGGACCGCCGCCGTCGTCCTCTCGACGCCGCCGCCGTGGTCGCCGCCGCCGTCGTCGTCGCCTTCGCTCCCCCGCCTCCCTGGCCCCTTCTCCTCCCTCCGCCCCTGCTACGTCACCTGCCCTCCCTTCTCACCTGTCTCCTTGCTCCTCCCTCCTCCCTCCTCTCACTCGTTCCCGCCCTCCTTCGTCCCTCTTCCATCCCGAAATGCCCCGATCAGTGCTTGCATTGAAAGGAATCCCCTGGTTATTCGTTCCAGGCCGATTTCGGTGAGTTCTGGGTTCCCGGGTTCCTGGTCGATCACCTTATCGATCTCTTTGCCGGCACCGGTTGGGGTTTTTCTCTGGTGCAATCTTTCTTGTTTCTCCATCCTGAAGTCCTCTGCCGACGGCGAAGACGACGACGACGACGACGACGACGACGACGACGACGACGACGACGACGACGACGACGACGACGACGACGACGACGACGACGACGACGACGGCGGCGACGACGACGACGACGACGACGACGACGACGACGACGACGACCGCGCGCGCGAGCCCGGCCGGGGTACATCACGCAGACAGCGCGCACGCCCGTGCGGCGCGCGGCGGGGGGGCCGCCGGAGCGCTCGCCCGGCGGCGCTGCGGCGGAGGGCGCCCTGCCGCCGTTCGGGTGATATCGCTCGGTCGACCGACCGGGCCAGGCCACCCCAACCCAACCCGAAGGCCTAGTATGGCCTCCATTTCCAGTGGGAGGGGGTCGGGGAACATCGAGAAAACACGTGTGGAACCCGTACCCCCCCCCACCCGAAATTCGGGTCTTCGGGTTGGGTCGGGGTGGTCTGGTAGGTAGTCCGTCGATCGGCCGGCCCAGGAGGGTGGAGGCCGTCCTGCAGGGTCCGGCGACAGCCCCGGTTCCCGGGCCCGCCGCCCCCCCCCCCCCCCCGAAAAAATGTGTTGTCCTTGCCGGCGGCGCCGGACCGAGGTGGGGGCGCAGTGCTGGTACTGGTGCGCGCGGGCGTGCGTGGGGCTGCCCCAAGTGAGAAGAGTTGGTTATCGGCCAGCCCCACCCCCTTTCCGCGGGATGACCTGGGCTATCGCCGTGAGGCAGGCAAAGCTATCTCATATGGACGGTCATGGCTCGGCGGCGCGCCCGGGGGGCAAGGCAGAGAGGGCGGGACTGTTCGGAAGGCTCAGCGAAAATAGCTGGCCTTGTGAGAAGCTTTCTGAGCCTTCTCCGAAGCCACAGAGGGCTTCTGAGAAAGCTTGCCTCCTCTCACGTCCCCCTCGGGCGCACCGCCGAATGATGGCTGTTGTCGTCTGTTGCTCCGTCTCCTGACCTTCCCTCCTATCGTTATCGCCTTCTCCGTATCATGTTCATTCGTTTTCTCCTGCTTTGCATGGCGCGGAGAGATCTGTTCAATGATACATCCTCGATCGGCATCATCGTGGAAGACGAAGGGGGGATCGAAATGGGAGGGAGCGCGAGCGATGCACGGAGGAGGGACGAGGGAGTAGCAGGAAGAGATTCGAGGGGAGGTAACCTATGAATTGGTGATGAGGGGGAGGGCATCTGAGTGCGGGGAGTGCTGGGGATGGGGAGCAGTTGGCGAAGGCCGAGACGCGAGGGGATAGCAGCGCGGACAGGATGAGGATAGGCACCAGGAGCACGGCGACCACGAGGAAACGGTGGTGGACTGGGCAACATCAGGACCTTCAGGGCCTTCCTCCCCCCCTCCCACCCCTCATCGTTTCTTTGTATACGTGTGTCTTGCATTGCATGCTATATCCAGGCACGCCGAATATCTGAGGCCAAGGCTTTGCCCACCATGTCTTAGCTAGGCCCGGACGGTGTCCGCAGCGGTGGTCGTATCGTATCTTAGGAACCGGCTGATGCGGCTAGAAGAGAGTATGACGAGCGTAGCGATCGTGCGGACAAAGGGGGACACCACAGTCATCTCGTGGGTGCGCATCACGATGTTGAGGAAGGGGAAGGAGTCGGAGGAGGAGGAGGAGGAGGAGGAGGAGGATTGGGACGAGGACGTGGGGGTCAACGACAAGGCGAAGGTGAGGACGGCGGATGGAGGAGAACTGATAAGGAAAAGTTGGAAGAGGAGGATAAGGAGGAGGAGGAGGAGGAGGAGGAGGAGGAGGAGGAGGATAAGGAGGAGGAGGAGGAGGAGGAGGAGGAGGAGCATCAGGAGGAGGAGGAGGAGCAGGTGGAGGAGGCGGCGGAGTATGAGCGCGAGAAAGTGGATTTGCACGAACAGGTTGAGGAGGGGGATGGGATTGGGCAGAGACTGAGGCAGAGGAGGATGATGAGCAGGCTCTCTCGCGCCAAGCTTGTTCCTGGCATGGGACAAGGGGCCAGAGAGCAGGGAGCCCGCCCAGCATGCTTGGTGGCGGGCTCGGGACACACGCCCCTTAGACCTGGCCGCACGCGGCGGCGCAGCGACCCGCAGCGCGCGCACCTGACAGAAGCAAGCGCCATCCGAGACCCCAGGCGGGGATTCCAGAGGGCGCCCGCCCCACCCCCGCGCGGACGGCCCGACCCCGGTCGGCGGCCACCCGTGAGCCCTACCCCTACCCCTACCCCTCACGAGTTCTGAGGGGGGGGGTCGGGGGCTCGCTTCGGATCGGGAGCTCCCGAGCGGAGTGATTTTTCTTCGAGCTCCACGCTTGTTCCGCCACGTTTAGCCAGGCACCCTACGGCGGGGGGCGAGAGCCTGCAGGCGGAGAAAAAGGTCCGCCACGGCACGCACCCGGGGCCCAAAGGGCCCCCCCCCCCTTGGAGATCGCGGGGGGCGGGGGCCGGTCTCGCGCGGGGCCGCCTGTAGCCAGGAGGCCCGAGGCTCGAGGGCCCGAGGCCCGAGGTTACCAGCCTCGAACGTGTCCCTATCCCTGAGATTGACACGCCAAAAGGCGATGACAGTCTTAGGGATCCGCCCTCAAAAGGTCAGGGAACCCCCAAGATTGGCATCGTGATGAGGAGGTGCCCAGCATAAGGATAGGGACATGTTCCAGGCTGGTAACGAGAGTCGAGAAAAGCCAGGGGAGCCCCACGGAGGACGCAGGCCTCGGGAGAGCCGGCGCGGGGCCCGTGCAGACAGGCAGCCACACCCAGGGCGCGAGCCCGCGTGCACGCGCCTGCGGTGGGCTCCGATCCCTCGCTCGGATCCGAGAGAGGGCAACGTGCGAAGGTGATGGCGCACCACGGTCCAGCCAGCGAATGGAG